TTTAGAACTTTGTTGATTAAATTTTGATTTTTGATACAAATTCTTAATTCTGTAGATTGACACGACCATTATTGATGACAGTTTCTCTGGACTTATGCTTTCGAGGGGGAACTGATGAGACTGGCCGGGTGGGGGTCAGTCGAATTTTTCTGCTACTCGAACTTTCGCCTGAGGGGTATATGCCACTTAAGTGGACGTTGGAACCTTCAGGGCTGAAAATCTTATTGCAATCCAAGCCTTATCAATTTTGGATAGCTTTCACTTATATTTAAACAAATGTTTCACATCCAACTACAGCAAAGGATCGAAACTACAGTCTCTGAAAGTCTCATTTCGATTTGAAAAATTAGCCAATTTGTTCTGGGTCTGAAAATGTCAATTTCAGCATTGATAAAAAATTCTGTATTTTGGTGAACTCTTTTTTGAAAAGCAGAATTTTAGAAACAACAATCACCGTTGTGAATGTTTTTGAACGAAAAAATTGTTTACTGTGACAACTCTCCTGAGCTCTGTTGAGTCATATGTATATTTTCACTTAATTGAAAAATATCCTCAAGGTGACAACTGGCGTTTTTAGATGCAAAATATTCTGCGAAGGCTTCAAAACAGTAATTGTTACATCGTTTGAAGTTTGGCATTGTAGAATGTAAAGATGAATTTGCGTGCACAGGGTAAAATGCTATTGAAAATTGAAAAACTATCGACATTTTCTTTCACTGACGGTGGACAGCGTTTGCTTTTCAGTAAAATAATTGATAACAACAATAAAAAAGTTCTCAAATCACTGATGTCTTCTCATAATTTAGACAACTTGTTCGAGTCAACGACAAATTATGATTAGAAGGAAAAATACCAATTGGTATGGCTCCTGAAAACTTAAAGCCATTTTTTTTCTTAAACTTTGAACCGCCAGATACAAAACCTTGATATAAGCTTCATCACTTTTTTGTTTCATTTTTCATTTTCGTAGATGTAGAGATATCTGGGTTTATAAATAAAAAATATTTAGTTCACAGCTCTCAACAAAAAGTTAAATATTTTGCCAATTGAAATAAAACTGTTTTAAAAGCGACTGATTCATACTGGGATTTGTTTGCAAAAGCATCTGTTTTACACTGATTTTATCGAAAAATTTTGAAATTGTTTAACTTTTTGTTAACTTATACTCAATCTCTTCAAAAAGATAAGACTTTAATTGTTTTAACTGCATTTCGTCTTTTTAAAACAGCAGGATTAAATTTACATAGATGTTCACAAATCATAGATCTAAGCTACAACTTTTTCGAGAAGTAAGCGCTAATGAAAAAATCTTTGCAATTAGAAAATTTGCAAAATTTTTAAATTGTTTATAGATGCGTAACTTTTTAAGCATATCCCATTTTGATGAGAAATTGTGTACAAAATTTGTATAATTTGGTTTAAATTTTAAGTGTGAGTAAAAAAGAAATTGATTAACAAAGAAATCCAAGAATTGATCCGGTACCGAATTTTTGATCCGGTACCGAAAACTTCAATAATTTTATGCCTACGCTCGTTAAGTTGCCTAATGGGACAGATGAGTCACTTGGAGGCATTTTGTGAACATAAGTTTGCAAACAGTACGCTCAGGTATCTGCGTACTTGGCAACTTTGTTTAACTTTATCGTGATGACGTTTAGAAGCTTGAAGGTCAGATAGAATTTACATGTGAGAAAAAATATGGTCAATGTTTAGTGAGTTTTTGCTTATAAAAATACCTAGTTGACTGTAGACCAAATGAATTGACATTTTTGTTTTGACATAAGTTCTGAGTTTTTATGATTTTGAGGAAATATTATGTTTTCTCAACTTTTGTTTTTTATTGTACTCGTATTCGAAATTGCTAGAAACACTTTTTGTTTTTGTTTGATTTTTATTTTATTTTGTTCAATAGTATAAGTATATTAAAACTATTTTTGACGTTGATTGCAACAACTCGAAGCCTTGTCAATATCAAGTATTTCCTTCAAGTAATTCTGTTCATTTTTTAATCGAATTGTAAATTAAAATTGAAGATACAAGTTGTTTTCTTCTATTTTTTTTTCAATCTCATCAATATTTTGTCCTATTGTCTGGCTGAAAAAAGGTTTGGACTTCTTTTTACATGTTTTTTAGAAATTTTTTTTAGAAGAAGTAATGATCCTTGATTTTTCTTCCATGTTCTAAACTTTTTTCCGGTTACACTATATTTATTCGCAAAAGTCCAAAACGCCACAAGATTTTTTCAACTGATTTCTCAGTCAAATCTTTTAGTTTTATGGTTATCTGTTTTCCTGTCTCCTTGCCAGCTTTGCCTACACTTTTCTGGAAATCGCTACACAGATTGTATTTAACAATAGATAAATTCTGCAGAATTATCAACTAATTTACTGAACAGTCAGCGAAATTAGCTAATTTACGCCGAAGTGCCTGTTGAAGCACTCTTGTTTTCATTTTTCCTCGGCTACAATTAGTTATGATTAATAAAGATTATGCTTTAATCAACGGTTTTTATGATGGTTTTTTGTTCAAACTTGACAATTATGTTTCTAATTCTGCAAAAAATCTCGCGTTTTGAAGGTACCCGAGCTGACGAAAAATACTAGTCATACAATTTTTATTTATGGAAAATGCTAATCATACACTTTTCATACTTTTCCATAAATACAGAAAACTGCATGAAAGGTCTATGATTAGTAATTTTTCACATATGGAAATTGTATGACTAGCACTTTTCCATAAACCAAAACTATTGATTTTTCTACATTGTAATTTCTCAAAATTTTTAGGTTGTGTTCGTAACCAAACACAAGTGACAAAAACCTTGGTTACTCAAGGTAGAGTATCCAAAGGTTTGTCCGTCTCGCATTAAAAATGCATTCGAAAGGGCCTGAAATGTCTAAAAACTTTTCAGTATGTCCAAGTAACTGTTTTTCAAAACAAATGTTAAATTTGCGTGCTTAAACTTTTTTTCGCACAACTTGCTTCGCAAGACACTATCCTGACTCAGACAAAAATTGCTCCGTGTTGCGTCACACTGTTTTGCCAGAATTATTCAGCGAATTCGCTTGTTATCATAGTAGTCTCAGCCTAAAAAGATAAGTAAGAAGGTTTAGCGCACCGAATCTAAATTGAATTTATGTGCGTTTTTTGAAGGTCTTATAGTGTTGGTTTTTCTTTGAGTTTTTTCTTGCAATTTATTATTTTTCATCTTTTTTTTGCAATTATAGTAGTACGTTTAAACCGCAACGTAAACAAAATCACTTTTAAAAGACCATAAAACGATTTCTGAGCAGTAAAAGTTCGCATTCAAACGTTTGCTGTGCAAACTTCTGATTTTCGAGCTTAACAAATCCTTGATGAAAACAAAAAAAACTGTTTTCTGTGCAAATAGTAGAGGAAGTTCTGACCGCATCATAGCAAAAAAACACAAAAAGCAATTACTCAAAACTTCAGGAACATTTTCAGAACCTTAGAAAAAAAAATTTTTGCAGATGTTTTTTTATTTGTTAAATTTTTTCCCAGGATTGCGCTTAAACATTTTCCTGGCCTATTTTTCTATAAAATTCGTGTTTCACAAAATCAAAGTAAAACTAAAAATTTTTAAACATTTTTTTAATCGACAATAGGACAGTTTTTTTGGAAACTTTTAAAATCGTTCATATCGGGGTTGAAAAATTGTAAAATGATAGATCACTCTTACCAATCCGATTATAGTTTGTGATAACTTTTCTTTGTTGAAAAACAAACGACGTTTCTCGCTTGCTTTTTTTGCTCGAAATTAGACAAAAAAACCTAGAAAAATTATACAATTTTTGTTCTCAATTTTGAGACAATTTTTTAAATCATTTTTTGAAGTCGCTAAAATCACGACTGAAAAGTCTTTACTATGGTATATCACCCGATCAATTCCAGAGACTATTTGTGGAAACAGGAAACAATTTTTCCTGGAAAACAAACAAAAACTAAAACACAACCGGAAGAAATTTCCTAGCCATTTTCAAATGGTCGGAATATAAATTTCAGCCAAATCTTCATTTCAATTAGACCAGAATCAACTCTTTTTTCTCAAGTAAATAATTAAGTCTAAACGCAGAAGATTTTAAGAGGAGCGGTGTTGGAGAGGTGACGTCACAGCCTTCCATCAAAAGGTCGGATGTTCATACCCACCATAATCCGTGCTTGGTTCTTAAGGTGAACCATTATTACCCAGCCCAGAAAAATAATTTTAAAAAAATTGCAGGCAGTTCTTAAGTGGTACCTATGTAATTTTTCAGAAGTATATTTTCAAAAAAAATACATTTAACTGTTACTAAGAAGCAATGTGACTTTGAATTAAACGCAAAATTTTAATATGCATTGAACAAAACGCAAAGTATTATAATTAACGGTAGATTTAGTCCAAAAGATAGCTATAACTCAGCAGGGGCACAGCAGATAATCTACCGCAATTGTTTTATATTTTCAAAACTGGTAAAAAATGAAACTTAGAAGTTAAAACATGACGAAGGTAGTTTTGAACCTTTTGTTTTGAAGGTAGTTAGTTGAGAACGATTTATCCACTAGGAAAAAGACCAACATACTAGTTATTCAGCTCTTCGCGGAGAACCGCTATTGTGCCCCTGATTAATATCTACTTGCTATTTTTTTTGGTTATTGTTCTGGGCTGGGTAATGTTGTATCGCCACCAAGCAACGAGCACTGATCATGGTGGACCTCGAACATCCGACCTTTCGATGGAACTCGGAGACGTAACCACTTCACCCGTGCTCTTTTTTAGAACCTCTGCGTTGCAATTTGCGCCAAACCCTTAATTTTTACGAATCTATGCCATAGACACAAATCAATTATCAAGCAAAAGACTCTATGTAATTTTTCAAATATCTTCACCAAGTCTGGTCGAAAATAATGCAAGCGATTAAATGATCACGTACTCAATAATCTTCTCAACACACAATATAAAAGTTTTTTTTTCTGAACTTTTGATTAAAACATATCACGAGTGACGCAAATGTGTTCAAATTACGCAGCAAGATATATTCATTAGTACATAACTATTTTATAAATGAACAACAACTACTAGAGCATTAGTCTTATTCGTCTAGATTTTGGTTTTTGAAATCGTTTTTTGTTATACAATGCAATCCGCGGATGATTTGGAAGGCCAGAGACAAGTCCAAGAACTGGCTGAGAGTGCAGATTTTGTGCGAAGTTGTCCCGAAAGCTTCAAGTTTTTCTCCCGCAACATCTTCAACGGACTGGATGCCAACCAGAACAACCAGATCAGCTGGAGAGAAATCCAGGTACCTCCCTCTCTTCACTTTCCAAGGCCAAATTGTTAGATCAGGGCAAAAAAACTTCAATCGCTGACTGTTTTTTGTTTTGTTTAAGTTTCACTAAATTAACAGTTTCTTAAATTTTATTGGATTAACAGTTTTTAACTTAAAACGTGGTCCATGCAAACACAATTCGTTTCAAAGCAGAAGTTTTAAACAAACGCGGAAAAAATCGGGTTGTTTGTAAAGGCAATTCATTCCAAACGCTCACTGAAAACATTCCAAAAAAACTTCAAACTTTTTTGGAGTTTTTTATCTTTTAATTAAGACTATTTTTGCACCTCAGCAAATATGTTTTGCGAAATTTAGGACAGCTTTCTGGGGAATGTCGAAAAACTACCATTTCAAAACAAGCACCAACTCAGAGACTGTTTCGACAAATGGGCTACAATTGACGGAAACGCCTCGGAGCTGAACTTCGAGGAGTTTTGTGGGTTTCTGAAAGACCTCATGGATTTGCTTTCCCCCACGAAAAAAGAAACAAGTCGCAGAAGGTCACAAAAGAAGTGAATAAAAAAAGAGTTATTTAATTAAACTTACAAATTAAGTTTTTGTAATCTGGAAACGCAGCTGAGATTTCAGCGAAGATTTATGGACGAAAAGACAGAAAAAACTTAGAGAGACGTGACCAGACAGGTCTAGCGACCTTTTAAAGTCTATCTAGCTGGTGCTAAATATTCATTCATATTTCATTTGTTTCAAATATTGGTACGACCAGCCTGAAGTAAATATTATAGTTAAACAACTAAAAAATTTAATTCAGATACATTTATATATACATTCTAGCAAATAATTTACAAAATTAGTTTGTTAGGAAATTGATAAAGTTTGCTTTAAAATGTTTTTTTTTCTGAGCCGATTCGGGTACACTCTAAGCCGATGATTTAAACGGCAAAAGATAACTGTCTCGTAGTTTTTAATTGGGAAAATTCTTATTCTCAATCAAGAGGACATCTAGCAGAAAAAGTTAGAAACTGAGTCTTTATTAGCTAGAGTCGTTACAATCGCGGAATTCGGCATCAAATTGGGATTGGAAACTGATCCGAAAAACGCCGCAGCTGTCGGCGATGTCGAACTCTTCGTGGCGAACATCGGAGCTCCCGAGTACCCAAAGGGGTCATAAAAATCCAAATGACCAGGAGCTACTCCGGGTCGGGGTGCAAACATATGGCTCTGAGGGGTATGGGTTAAGACGTACCCGGTCGGAGCCGGATGTCCGGGGTAGAACGCTTTACTCTGGTAGTAGCCGGCGCCCGGCCAAGGTGCGAGGACTGTGGGTGCTGAAGCCAGAGGGGGAGGGTTCTTGACTTCGGCTTTGAGGAGAGGTCGGATATTCTCAGGGAAAGCCATGGTGAAAAGTGCCTCTGGATCGCACACAAATTTGTACACGTATCTTTCTCCAGCCACTTTCTGCATGATTCCTTTCTCGTAGTAGTATCGGAGAGAACGACTCAATTTGTCATAGTTCATAGCTGGCCTGTTTTTCTGAATGCCCCACCTACGCGCCACCTATTATAAATAATTTAATTTAAAAGAATGGCAGAAAGTTGTATCAGCCCATCAAAACTCGGTACTTTGAAATTTTAAAAAAGCAGAAAAAAGCGCTCATTGTTTTTGAAGATTTTAACGCATTAATAAAAATTTTTTGCTAAGTTTTCTTTTTTGGTCAGACCCTAGCAACAAATTGACAAAAACGGCGTTTTGTGGCCTGTTTTTTTTCAAAGGCTTTGGCATAACAGGGTTTTTATAGAGCTTTGAGAGAGATCGGGAAATCAGTTTGGTCGAATCCCAAATCCCCAAAAAATTACAGATACGCGCTTGATTGCGACAATATTTTTCTCGATATTTAAGAAGCAGTTTTTTTTATTTAAATTTTTTCCCCACTAATCATTAGCTTAAAGTTACTTCTTCTGGTTCGGTCAACTTGAACTCCAATCCACGACCAGTCCACGCGATGCACGTCGCGTTCACCGGGTCCTCCAGAAGAGCGACGAGGAACTGCCAGAGCTGCAGACTGCCCCTCCGCTGGTAGAGAGTCGGGTGCTCTCGCTGGGGAGGCGGGGCAACCGGGGGAGGGGCGGAGGACAGGGGTGCCAGAGTGGTTGAGGGGGGCAAAAGAGATGATTTCAAATTGGGCGAAGGGGTGCTAGTGGCGCATTTGTTGTTGTTGTGGGGGTGCGAGCTCACCAAGCTCGAATCGGGTGAGAACTGTTTCTTGTTGTGTTCGAGAACAGGTGAATGATGAAACTGTTCTCCTGAAACAATGGTGAATTATAAATTTTCTTTCTAGAGAGTTCAAACATTCCCGTGAAGCATCGCACGCAAAACATTTTGAAAGCAATGTTTCAACAAATTTAGCTCCCGATATGGTTGCGAATATTATCAGAACTTTGTAAAAATAAAGACTTAGGTAAAATAAAAAAAAATTTTGAACGTAGCGAACCTTTTTTTATTATAGTTCAACTTTTTTATGTTAATTTTATTTAGAAAAGATTTTTATTGCTTTTAAAAACTTCCAAATTGTTGGACCTTTCAATTAATTTTGTCGACCAAGTTTTTTGACAACTTTATTTTCAATACTGATGAGATTTTAATATTTCCATTCCGAACGAGTATTTATTGTTCAAATACTGCAAAAAGTAGCGGAAAGAGATGATATCCTTTTCGTAATTTGAGTGAAAACATCACTTAATTTATGGTTGAATAAAAAAAATTATTTTTGTTATTTTCACATCTCAGGTGTAGAGTGACAATTAACATTTGGCTTGATATTTCCATCCAAATCCAATTTAAGAATATCAAAGTGCTTTTTGATTCTATTAGCAGTTGCTGGGCAAATATTTTCCCGACGGTTAGAAATTTAATTACAATAATACGAGTATTATTTCAATTATCCGTAAGATATCGAGTCCTAAGAGAGTTGAACTTGGGCTTAAAATTCAGAGCTACCTTCTTCAATTCGATAAACACATGATGCTAAAATTGAGGCTCAAAATTGTCAATTATTCTTTTAAAATTTCATCATCAGCTTTTAAAAAATATAGACCAAAAAAAGAATTTTTTTTTGGAGAGCAGAATGAAAAGTCTGCAGTCTATAAACTAGAAAAATTTTTGAGCAGTCAATTTTTCCTTCCCAAATAAATGCTAATTACTTTGAAAATACAAAGATTTATCAATAATTGTCCATAATTTTACAACAAAGGGTCGTTCATATATCGAAAATTGATAAGGCACAGGCAAATTGTCCTACGAGTTCAATCAAAACCGGAAGTTGGGCTGTACATTGAGGAAAAGGACTAACGTAAGTGGTTAAATTGGTCGCCAGAGCTTGTTAAATTAGTGCTCCCATCGTCAAGTGAAATTCTCGAAGAATTCATTTCGCCTTCCCTCGCCTGCAATTCTTGTTGCATCAAAGCTGCAACCGGCAAATATTGCACATGTGCAGGCATAATTGACGATAGAAACTTGGAGTCACCGGGACTCGATCCGGGTACAGTGGGTTGGTACTCCCAAAGTTGGCTGCAAACGTGATTTGAGCTTGTTTTCACCGACTTTTCCAGGAAATCAGCGTTTATTTCTCTTCTCAGCTGAGCTGAGTTTAACTCGTTTATCGAATACAAACGCTCGTTATGTGCGACAGTTTCATTTTCTCCCACTTTTTGAGACAGTGTCTTTTGACGAGTTAGTTTTTCAAATGTCATCTGCGACTGGTAGTCGCCAGTTATCGGTCTTTGAATCGTGTTTTGATCTTCTGAGTTCTGCATTGTGAAGTTTTTGTTCTTTTTCGGTGTATTTTTTCGGAGAAGCAGATTTTTTCGGTCTCGTTTGGTTGAATCGGATCGGACCACCGAAAGAATAGTTTTCTCTAAAATCAAAAAATCTAAAATTTGTTAAATTTATTGCTAAAGAATTATAATATGTAAAATCTTCCTAACAACCTAACAAAAACTCCTTTTTTTCAATAAATTTTTGTTACAATTTTTGCTCGATTTAAGCCTAATTACATCTCGTTTTCTGGCTCTTTTTGTTTTCCCCCCACGTCATATAAGCATGAATTCTATGGTGTATGAGGGGTTTGACAAGGTTAGATATGAACACCAAATATGTTTGTCATAGTCTAATTAGTCCGCAATCGGAAGACGCGAACAGAAAAATGTGAAAACTTGCAGTTGGATGGGGGAGAGGAAAAAGAGCCCGATTTCTGCAAGTCTGAATATAAACTGTCAATCAAAGAAAGTTGACTAAAAACGATTGAAATCTGATTGGCTTGTGGTAATTTGACCCAGATGCAACTTAATAGCACTCGATTTCGAAAACCCATTGAAAACCATTTCAATTCTTTGGATGGTCATTTAATACTCTTTTGGGTAAATATATACTCCTATTGAAGCAATCTATTAAGTCAAAATAGTCATAAAATGAACAATTTTGGCTAAAAAATTAATTTCCAAACCCCTTTTTTGACATGTGTTGGTATCTTGATGTTCATTTAGCGTTCAGTCTTAAATGACAGGCTGTAAAGGAGCAACAAGCCTTCAGGGCTATTTTGATTTGGTTCGAGTCAGAAAGAAAAAGAATTAAAATATTCAGTTATGAATAGCAAGGGTTATTTTCCCAACCGATAAGAACTTTCAATAACTTTTATCAGTAAAATAGAAGCCCAATACCCCGTGAAATGAACACACTTTTTTTCACTTTGGATAAATTTTGTTTTTAATTTTAACAAGGGTGAATTTAAATACTATGATTTAAACGAAGCTAATTGAAAGGGTGGGAATCTTCAAATTTTTGCAAGGGGTTGATTGCAAAAGTTAACACATTTGTAAGGGTTGATGATTGCTTGAATGAGTTTTTCAACGCAAACACCACCAAAATTTCAGAAAACTGTATAAAAAAATTCGCAATCTGTGCCTGAACTCGGGCTAAGGCTTTGTTTCTTTTTGTGTGTGTATGTGTAGGGGGTGGGGGGTCAATTATCTTTTTGTAGGCTAGCGTATCTTTCTTTGTGTTTTATAAATTTGTAAATATGTCCCAAAATTTACCTATTTCCAGTTGCGTTTTTCTCGTTACTTTCAAGAGTCCTATTTATTTTATTTTAGAAAATGTATGTTGGGTCGATCAACCGACAAAACGCGCTTTATTTGGTCGATAGCATCCAAAAGGTGGCCGTGCCCAAAAGTAGATAATTGATGTTCCGGTTCTAATTATCCGGCTTCAATTGAGGGAGAAAAAAATTTCTGTTCAGAAGGATTAAAATAGCATGAACCGACAAAAAATCAGTATCTTTAAATTTCGAACTTTTTTCTTGAGGGTTTTAACAATTACATGCGTAAGAACCGTTAGAAAGAAGATAAAAATAAGTTTTTTTTTGAACAAAAAGTATTAGAACTGAACTCCGAGAAAGGCTTTTTTCACTTACCAAAAGCTGATACTCGTTTCTTAAAGGCTCAAAAAAAAACTTTTTAAGCAAATAAATTGGCGACATTGTTTTTGAAAATATGAACAGTCATCTGTTTTTGACTCGGAAAATGTACTTTGACATTAAATCAAACATTTTGTTTTATTGCACAGTAAAAACTGTGCAATTCACGAAGTTTTAAAACCTGTATACTCAAAAAAGCTCACTATTCCGACCTCTGAACTGTGGAAGGGTAATTGACATTTTGTTTTAATTTTCTTAAATTAGGGTGATATCTGGAGAATATTCAACTTAGATCAAATGTGGTATCATTTTCTCAATCACTCGTAATACAAACTGAACACCCAATTACTCAAAAAAGAATTCATTTTCGCATAAAAGTACTAAATTTTGATAACTTTAAAAAGCTGCTTAACTCGATTTTGTTTTTTTTTTACAAAAATATAGTGATTAAAGTTGGTCTGGTTTAGTTTCATGCTTTTTAGAAAATTAAGTCCTTGTAATTAATAATTAATAAACGAAAGTTTCAATTATGTTCCAAATGGCGAGCAAGCTGTTTAGTTAGCGGCTTAGACTGCCTCAAGCAAAGCTTGTATGGGGACAAGTACAATTTTACTCAGAGAACTTTCAGTCGTGATTTGGACTCAAAGTCAAAAACTTATATTCATTTCGAGAAAGTTTGTCTGAGTTTGATGATAGTGAATTTTTTTGGCACTGACAACTCATTTTTTTCATGACACTAAACTTTAAATTTACAGCAAACACCAGCGGATTTAGGCGCACCCCCCTTTTCTTCTTCAGAGATTCGATGCCGACCCAAAGGGTCCCCCTTAATACTATTTTAAGATATCCATTAATGGCTGAATGCCCACCCCCCTAAAATGTTTCTAAAGGCGCTTTTGGCGCCTAATCATACTAATTTTGAGGGGGAGCGCGCGCAGAAAAAAACCCGATTTATTGGTCAAAATGTTCCAAAATGTGCCTAAAAACGCTTTTTGGGTATGTTTTTTCAAAAATTTTTAAAAAAGAAATCGACAAGAAACTTAAGAAAAAAGAACTGTTTTCAAAATGAAATTTTATCTATTATTCTAGAGACTCATGTTGGTCTTTGAATCAAGTTGGTCGGAACGGTCTGTGCCTTTTGTACAGCCACCGGCTAGCCCTGTTCCATAAAAATATCTATATTGCTATCAAAGTAAAACCATTTTGCAATCGTGGAATAAATAAAACGAAACATCAATTTTTGTATAAGTCTTTCTTTGTAGAATGGAATGTACAAACATGAAAATGAAAAATAAAACATGAAATTCCTGAAGCGGCCGCTGAACGCCTGAAAACATTCATTTTTGTAGAAAAATTTTAGGGTCAAAAATGAATATATCAAGGTAGAACAAAGTGGGGATCCTTTGGGTTAGTCAGGGGGTCAAATTCCTGAAGAAGGGGGTGTCCAAAAAAGATGAAGATAATAAAAACAAATCATAAAGTGCCCAATCATCTCCTTTAAGACATTCATTACGGAAATGTTTGAAAGTAAATAAACTTTATCACTAAGTTGCGGGTTATGAATTCAATTTTTCAACTTTTCGCTGACGTTTTTTTTTAATTTAGTTTTTCCGAATGGAACAAACAAACTGGCAGATTAAAAATTTGCTCACTTGAAACTCTATGGAATTTTTTGAAGTATTCAGAATTATTGCAAGAAACCAAAATTTAGTTTTAAAACTGTTTTAGAGCTACGATAAGGGTTATACTACGATAACTTAATTCTTTTTTATACATTACTTACATTTTCGACTTTGTGCTCCATTGTTAAGAATTACACAATTCACAGACAAGTTGATCGTTATTTCAATTTTTTTGAAAACAAATAAATCAGAAACATAATTATGAAACAATAATTTGAAAATTGTTATTTTTAAGTTGTGTGACAAAAAGTGAATTGAATGTTATTCAAAAACAATTGCCTTGCAATGAGTATGTTTAGTTCTCGGAATTTGCACAGGAATTTGTTTTCCGGGAAGCAGGAAACAACTACATGCACGGGGTTCCTGCCGAGGATCCGGCGCTGCAGAATTTGACCCCTTCCTAGGAGCGGATCCACCTCAACCCTTCGGCTGTGCTTACCGGGACACTCCCGCGGATGTCGGGGAAGGATGGGACTGGAGCCGAGGAAGGAACTGGAGATGCAAAACGAAGAGAACCCCACAAAATTTGTTTACTTACCTCTATCTAGTTCGAAAGATTTCAGGAAGCTGATTTTCAAATTGAAGTGAAGCGGATATTTTAACACTTCTCAAAAATATCTCAAAATCGATTCCAGAATGTGTTTTTCAACCGCAGGATCGTTTTTTTTGTTTTCAACTGAAATTGAATATTAATTTTTTCAAATATTTATTTAATATTTGAAATTTTTTAGTAGTATTACCACTACTAATTTTTTGAGAGAGTCAAGTTAGGTTCCGTTTCTCAGGATGGGTAAAGGAAGAATCCCTTCCTTTGGTTCCTTTGCGTATGTTGTCTCAATTGTGATTGGCCAGCCTACAAGCCAATCATATTGCTCTCATTTTTAATCCCTATTTTTATCAATTTTGTTCACTTAATTTACCTCTTTGCAAGAGGCGATTTTAAGTATATAAATGAATTTTAACGAATTAGTCGTAAGGATGAAGAGTAAATTGGAGGGTTTTGAAGTAATACAAGACAGTTGTTGACTTATGCTTCCGTTCCTTTCTCTCCCAATTACCTGTATTAAGTGAGTGTTACGTGATATGTGCTGGGATAAGCCAGCTAGGGCAAAAGTTATTTCCACCTCGGTGGGTCGGATAAAGTTTTCGACTCAATTAATTGCTCCAATTCATTTCCGACATCGGAGAAGACTTAAATAGACACTGAGCAGAGCTTGAGAAGATTCTTGCCAGCTCTTTCACCCGACTAATGAAACAGCAAAATTGTCATAAGCTCGATAAATTCAAAATAAATGAGCACCAAAAATTTTTTCTAAACTTGTAAATTCATTTCAAAACGGTCGTCTTAATTGAATATTTTCGTTTTAATTGAATAAAAAAGCAAAAAAAAAAAATCCGAAACAGCCTTTTTATCATACCTCGCAAAGTTTTATTTGACCTCTTAAAATCACAATTCAATTATTGAAGCTTTTCAGAAAAAAAAAGTTGAAAATCCATAAACAGTCTCTAGATGCTAATGCAAGTAGCATCAGTTTGTTTTCTAAGTTCAAATATTTTTTCGAAAGCACTTCAATTAAAAGAGTCATTTTTAAGGCAATTAACCGCAAAAATAGTGGTAATTGCAGATCAGGTTATAAACAGTTTTGGTTTCTGCGATGCGCAGGGGATCAATGAAAGGCTATCGAGCGAAGTTCTTTTGTGCGACTCAAGGCCGTTTTTTGCGTCTAGAGTTTTAACGTGGTTGTGAAATCGGCCAGGGTGTGATAGACCTACAATTACAGGTCAAGTGAGAGCTTGTCCTCACATACTGTCATTGTCATGGCAGGGAACCAAATGCAAGATCTGAAACTGAACGCCTTACCATTGTGGTAAAGACCTACTTTAACATCCTCCCCCTCTTCCCGCTCTCCCCTCTCTAAACTAAATTCTCCCCCCCCCCCCCTCTCCCTATCCCTCCAGATAGACGAAATTAAACTCGACTATTTTCCTTCCCCCGCCCCATATTTAGATTTCAGTAACTATTTTTTGAGTAACTATTTTTACGTTGTCATCATGTAATGAAATTATGCATGGTGAACAAACTAACTACTCTGTACAGATTTGTTTTGCATACCTTACATTGTGACATCATGCACTGAGCCATAATAACAGGTAAGGCACTTAAACTAATTGAAGGATTGAAATATGGGGGAAAGTGAGATTCGTTTTGCTAAGCGCTGCATTTAAAAATTTCGATTTTGATTGGCTGAAAATTCCATCTTGGAAACAATTTTACATCCCCAAACTTGCTTTGTGGGATGTTCATATGTTCCGTTATCTCTTCTGCAAGGCCCAAAAAAAATTATTGAAGGTGTGAGATGTTCAATAAGACCGAACATAACTAAATCTAAAAATTGAACAAACCCTGAGTACTCCACTCCGACTGCCTTTTTAGGTCGATCAAAAAAAATTGATGAAAAACAACGAAAAAAACCTCGACCCCCACACGCTATTTAGAGAATAAGGATTGATATATTTCGCATAGAGCAAATTAGACTAAATTGCTTGCCTTAAATCAACTAGGAGCTACTTCTAACACTAGTTAAATCTCCACTTATGCCATATTTGTACAAAACATAACGCGCGTTAATCGTCACAAACGGACCAAATTGCAATGTTTCAACACCCATAAGTTTTTCAAAAACGATCACAGGTGAACTATTTATTAAAATTGAACCCAGTGCAACAATATTTTTTGGTTAACAAAAAAACATTTAGTCGAAAAACGCTAGTTACAAAGTCAACACTGGAGGAGAAAAAACAATCCCAAATATAACTAGTCTGTCAAAAATTCAAAAATTGCAAATCGAAAATTGCAACAAAAAGTTTTAAAAGCGCTTGTTTAATTGACCGAAATAAAAATCACTTTGTTCTTTTTTTTTGTATTCCAAAAAAAAGTATTTTGCTAACTGTAAACTCCACGTACAATTCAATTGCAGTCAACGCATCTTTTTAATTTTTCCGCCTCAAAATCATAAAAGTCAATGTTTGACACCTCAAAGTACACAAATATAATCAGTTTTTTGAATTCGAAAAAACCGCCCCGAAATTTAGTGTCAAAACTGCATTTTTTTGACAGTTCCAGGTTGAAGATTTTTTTTAGTTTTAATTATCTTGAATCAAGTTCCTTTTTTTGTTTTGTCTATTGCGACCAAGTTTTCTATCTTGCGACTTTGACGGCCATATTTGAATATGTTTCGAAACTTTCAACCAAAGAAAAGACGTATTCGGCTGCTTTGCTCGAAACAGACCAGATATGTTTCAATTTGTTGACTATAAATGGGAATGGTTCGACTGCCCTGGATTTTGATTTTAAAAATGCATAAGTAATTATGCGACAGAGCTCTGCTGTGTTTCGAAAATGTCCCATGGTTTTTCTCGACAAGTGTTTTTTCTCGATATATTTGCTTGCCCCGGCTGAGATACGTTTTTCTGCCCTATGGAGAAACTCATGCATAAATAAATTTAAAATTTTGAGTAGTTTTCTACTACCCACCCGTGATTGTTATAGCTGATCGCAAGAAAATTCTCAAAATAAGAGTTCCAAAATTATGACTTTTTTTGGACAAACATGTAAGACAAGTAACACAATATCAATATCAATAACTTTTGATTGACAATTCGTCCTTTTTAACCAAATGAATCTGTGAATCGATATTCTAATTTTTGAAATCTGGTTATACGCGTTTTGGCTGCTTTAGTCATGAGTTTTTTTTGGCTAAAAATAGCGATACAGATGTTGGATCTTGTCTGTCGGATCTTAAAACAGGCAAGTTCCATTTTAAAGAAATATAAACAGTTAACATCCGCAAATTGAACTGCCTCTATGTGATAACGCAATACACTCTAAAAATCGTTAGCATATAGTTTGAAAACTTTTGGATCGCGTACTATACCTTATGGTACCACACGATCAATAGCAGACCAGCAAATAATCACCAATTTTGATGCAGTTTTTTTGTTCTGATAAAAAAATACAAACAGTTCACGAGCTTGATCAGGTAACCTGTTTGAATCTAAATTGCCGAGAAAGATTAGATTTGAAACCAAAATGATTTCTTAAACAGGGTCAAAAAATAGCTTTAGTATGATTGTTTGCTTGAAGATTCGCTTATATTTCTTCAAATAATGTTAGAACCGCGTCATATAACCGTTGATTTTTTCCTGGAAACTAAATCGAGTATCGGTTAAAAAATTTTCTAGATATGCAAACATTTGGTTAAGTAGAAGAGGCTCCTATATTTTACACAAAGTATTTGTTTGCAAATTTGGCCTGTAGTTAACTGCCTCTGTTGGGTCTCTTTTTGTAAATTACAGTTTTGTTTGTTTGATTGAGAAAATTCGGAAAACAACTCCTTAATCCGCTGGTTCATCGGAGAAGCAAGTTTTTAGCAAGGGCAAAATTTGCAATTTAATCGCCCAGTCAAGCCAATCCAGTGCACCTGCCAATTTCTTTCTGACCAATCTATCTATTTTATAAAACAATTTTTTCGTTAATGTGTTAAATTCATTTTTTGTCAGAATATTTAGGCCTTTTATAGTGCGTATCTGACTTCGCGGTGTTTGAAATATTATGCTGACCACGGAACATCTTTGGAGACTTCATCTTTTTCAGATAACCAATCGTCAGTTGCCATAACGATTGAATTTTAATGTATTTGCGGTAAACAAACTACAATTTTCGCCATATTTTTTAGAAAACTACAGTAATGTAAAAAATGTAAATGAACTATTTGACAATTTTGTGCTTGTTCCAAAAATTTCATAATCAAATCTTAACAAATTGTAGAGAATCGTTCTTAAAAATTGTGGAGAAGAATCTCATGAAATTGTAGAGAAATTGTGGAAAAACGTTGCAGAGGTTTTGTTTCATTATTATCAAGCTTCAATTAACCTGGGATTATTCTGCGTTCGTTCTATCTGGCACTCGTTTTTTCTTTGTAACGAGTCTGATGGACAGGTTACAATTTTTATTGAGTCTTGGGAGGGTTTTTTTGCTCGCACTGTTTCTTTTCTAAAGGTTTTAACGGTCCCATTAAACGTTACTGGATTCTCTGGCACTGAAGTTTGCATGTTTCCATTTCTGTTTTTTTTTTACTGAAAAGCGCAGTATTTTGCTCAGAAGTTACTGATTTAGGCAATCTGTACTGTTGAGAGGGTTAGCTCGACTCCAGTTAATACTTCTCAAAGGTCAATTTTTTTCGCGAATTAGATCTGGAGTTCAAAGTAGTTTTCCCGGTTGATCGTGTTTTTCCAAAATTCATTATGGGGCTAAACTCTGCTCTGGATAAGCGCACAATTTATTTTGTGCAGGTCTCTTGAATCCAGAGACAAGTCTTGAAATATGTTAAAGTTTTGACGGAACGATCAAAGAAAGCGAAAAACAAAAAAAAAACAAAGAGAGCGTCCTTGTTGCGGAATCCGCTCACAATTCACAAAATAAAGAGCTTGACCTCTTAATATGTTTCTTGGTTTCGATGCATTGGCGACGAATGATAATTAACAATCGTTCATTTTTACAGGGTAGACAATTAGTGGGCTGTGAGTTTGCCATTGATCTATCCTCTCCAATCATTGTCTAGAAATGATAAATTGTTGCAAAAGGATTTTTGTTCATTATTTAAAGGATGATTGATTAAAACTGTAACGATGATAGTGATTTGGAGAAATTAACTTTTTGTAGTAGTTAGAACATAGTTGAAAGATGCCCGCAGGAAAAAGAGCCCGGCCTGAGGGCACGA